CAAAGGCAGTTGCATTTGTATTTCATTTTAACTGGGGAAGACTTGGGGTGTTCACATCAGATCTGCTGTTTGGTCCTGATTATGGCATTTGCCCTCGACTCTAGCATTGGCATCCTTTCCTAACTGCTGCTGTAGGGCATCTCTTTAAGTGGGCAGGGGCCAGACAGCACAGAGCGGCCAGTGAACCATGTCAGGGCTAAAGGAGGGTGGCTGCCAAGGGCAGATTGAAAAGGTGGACTGAGCAGGATGGTGGGAACCTTTGACACCTTCACAGCCTACGTTAGCCCATCAATAGGGCTGGCGTGGGAGAGGGCGTGACCGCTGCCCTGGACAGCAGCATCCGCCAGTAGGGGTCCATGGTCAGCTGCCAGTGGAGGGATGACATGGACGATCTCCTCCGAGAGTTTCCATGAGGGAGCTGAAGAGGGCATTTCATACCTCTTTTTCGTTATAAACCCCTTTGACCATGGTTCCCCTAGAAGTCGGGACAAACTTTCTCCCACCGTTGCCAACGATGGTGGCTAATGTTATTGAGACATTCTCACTGATTAAGAACATTGTGATGCTGTAGTCCTTCTTAATGATACATTAGGAAAAAGGGATGTTTGGAAGTTAGGTCTCATTTAGGGAAGCCTTCTGTTTGGCGCCAGTGTGACTAGGTTGGAGATGAGGGTTTTTCAGATGGGAACATTAGCAAGGAGTGAGGGAGGCAGGTAGAAGGATAACAGTTCAAGTGGGCCAAATGCCCATCTAGCTTCCCAAGTCTCAGGCTGACAGCACACCCAGCCTTCGATTTCTTAGGTCATTTGTGCTATCTGTGACCTGACCTGGGAGAGAGGAGCTGCAGTCAGGGGAGGTGGGACAGGGAAAGCAGGGGCGGGATGGATTTGCACACGTCCTTAGAGTAGCCACAGCAGATCGGTGTGCTTACTGCCACTCACAGGTGTTTCAGGGGACTTGGTTTGAGCAGTGACATGACTAGATTTTTCTTTTAGGCTGTGATAGCAGCAGCCTCTGCTATTCTAAGTCTTACTCTGTGCTGACTGGATGGACAAAGTCTTGTAATTGAATATAAGAACAAAAATGCTTTGGAAATGACAGTGCTCTTATAAATGTCAAACCTGAAACCTTAGGCAGGCCATTTACTCCATCTGACCTTTGATTTCGTGAAGATGGGGATACTCTGACCTACCTTCCCGGTTTACAGGATCATTTCAGAATCAGCCAAGGATATATAAAAAGCCTGAGCTGGTTTACAAAGGCAGGGACAGGCACTAAAGAGCGCTGTGCAGCTGAGCTGAAGGCAGCCCATCTGTCTCTCACGGGCTCCCCTTCTCTCTCCCACAGCTCATCAGGATGTGCTCTCACGGAGAAGACAAGATTGACTACTATAACTTCGTCCGTGCTTTCTCCAACTGACCTGCTGAGGACAGAAAGCACAGTATTTTGAGGTTGGGCCTACGTATACCTGTACTCTTCATAGAGGCATTTACAGAGCTCTTGAAATTATATTTCCTTTTTGGTTCTTTTACCACTGAAGTCTAAATTAAATTGGATCTTGTAGGAGCTAAGGTTGGTGCCTTATTTAGGGAGGGGAGATAGGGGTGTTGTGATGGTTAATTTTATGTGTCAACTTGACTAGATATGGGGTGCCTGGACGTTTCTGGGTGTGTCTGTGAGGCCGTTTCTGGATGAGGTTAATATTTGAGTTGGTGGATGGAGTAAAGCAGATGGCCCTCTCCAATGTGGGTGGGCCCCACCCATTCCATTAAAGGCTTGAATAGAACAAAAAGGCTGACCTTTCCCTAATGAGAGAGAATTCCTCCGGCCTGCTTTGACATCGGCTTTTTCCTGCTTTTGGACTCAAACTGAGACATTGGCTCCTCTGGGGCTCCAGCCCGCTGGCCTTCAGACAGGAACTACTCCGTCAGCCCTCAGAGGCCTCCAGGTCGCTGGCTACAGATACTGGAGCTTGTCAGCTTCCTCGGTTACAGGAGCCAATTCCTTAATCGTCAGTCTCTTTCTCTGTGTATATACAGCCTATCGGTTCTGCTTCTCTGGAGAAAGAACCCTGACTAATGCAGGTGTAGAGTGACCAAGATCAGGAGGAGGATGCATAGAATTTGCTCAGACAGACATCAGGTCGGGTGTGGTGCTGCAGACAGTGCTGCCCGCCCCGCCGGGAAGTAGACACCATGGTTTCCAGTTGCAGTTCTAGGCCCATTAGTAGACCTGCATTTTATTTCATTTTATTATTTATTTATTTAAATTTATTTTTGGCTGTGTTGGGTCTTTGTTGCTGCGTGCGGGCTTTCTCTAGTTGCGGCGAGCGGGGGCTACTCTTCGTTGTGGTGCGTGAGCTTCTCACTGAAGTGGCTTCTCTTGTTGCGGAGCACAGGCTCTAGGCACGCGGGCTCAGTAGTTGTGGCTCACAGGCTCTAGAGCGCAGGCTCAGTAGTTGTGGTGCACGGGCTTAGTTGCTTTGCGGCATGTGGGATGTTCCTGGACCAGGGCTTGAACCCATGTCCCCTTCATTGGCAGGCAGACACTGTGATAATAGAAAATATCACAGTGTGGTACACTGATTTGTTTCATGAAACTTTTGTTTCAAATGAGTGTGTATTTACTGGGTCATGATGTAAAACATTTCTTTATGTGGGCTATAGTTAAAAAAAAAAAATTTAGAAAAACTGCTTTTAGAGAGCCTGGCCTCAAGATAGGCAGAAAAGACTAGTAGCAGCTACTGGTTATCGACTGAGCTCTGATGGACTTTTCAGAAGCAGGGCTGCTCCTTAGTTGAAGTCAGCCACCAACTTCATCTTTATAAATGCTGTCTCTGATTCCTTCCTACCTGTACTCTGTCTGTACCACCAGGGGCCTGAAAATACCATCTAATTAGGGTGTATCAAGCCCGTATCTGTAGGCCTTAGGGGTACCTGAGAAGATGTCTCTAGATGTTTCCAGAAAATCAAGGGTCACTTGGGTGAGTGACTAGCCTGCTGGTGTAGGAGCACGAGCACGTTCCTATAAGAAATTATTGAGTGCTTTATTTGAACCATGAACTTAGCATTTACTATCCCTAAATCTTACCACCACCATTCCCTGTGAAAACAAGCAAACCAGCCAGCCGACACCCCCCCAAAATGCTGAGCCCAGATGAGCAAGCAGGCTCAGAAAGGCCGACTGCCCAAGGTCACCAGCTTCTCCGGCTGAGCCGCTTGCTCTCTGTTGGCACCGTGCCTTTGTCTCAGGTACATGGTTCCTGTTGGGTCCTCATAGCCCATGCCTGTCCTCAACTAACTGCACTCATCTCCTGAGCTCTCTCTGGAGATGGTTCTGGAAAAACAGCAGACAGCCATGGGCAACAGGCCATCTGATGCCAGCAGTGTCCTGTGCCCACTGCTGGTACCAACACTCAGACAGCATCTATTCAGCACCTCCACTGACATCTGGTGGCTTTTACACACAGACTTAGCCCCATCCTCTCCTAGCCAAGTGACACCATAACACAGTCGTCCCCCTTATCCACACTTTCACTTTCCAGTTTTAGTTAAACATGGTCAGCCATGGTCTGGAAATATTAAATGGAACGCTCCAGAAATAATTCTTGTTTTAAACTGTGTGCCATTCTGAGTAGCGTGATGAGATCTTGCGCCCTCCCACTTTGTCCCTCCCGGGATCCCCAGCTGTCGGCATTGTCAGGGCTCAGTGATCCACGGTCACCTGGAGCAAGTGATCCTCTCCTGATGCGTCATCAGAAGGCCAGTAGAGCCCAGCGCTCCACCACAGCATCTGCATCATCCAGCTCACGCCACCTTGTCACTTGGGCACTCAGTCACCTCACATCGTAAGAAGAAGGGTGAGTGCAGCTCAGTAAGATGTTTTTAGAGACCACATTCACATAACTTTCATTATGGTATATGGTTATAATTGTTCTATTTTGTTATCATTGTTAATCTCTTACTGTGCCTAATTTATAGATTTCACCATAGGTAGGTATGTGTAGGAAAAAACATAGCATATTTAGGGCCCAGAACTCTCTGGGGTTTCAGGCATCCACTGGGGGGGGTCTCGGAACATTCCCATGGATGATGGGGGCAGCCGTACAGCAGGCATCAGGCACAGTGCGCCTCCTTGTGGCGCTTCCTGCCCACACACCCCATGTCACCACACTCCTTTCCACGTTCACACTTCCCTGTTAACAGACACCAGTAAAAATGAGGCTTATTACTACCCACCACTCAATGTAACTGACTCCTTCTCCATCCTTAATTCCAACTCCCTAACTCACATGACCACACGAACAAATATATATCTCAAAAGATATGCAAGAAATGACAGAGTGAAAAATGTTAGAAATGAGGCTGAAATTGATGCAAACTCGTTCTTCATATAAAAGCAAATGTGAGCAATACAAACAAGACTAGTTGATGCAAAGTCTTGCAAAAAATAAAGTTGCCAGCAATATCATTATTTTAAAGCGCTCTTATCCTTTTCAGTCTTCAGGGGAGAAACATACTCTAATCAATTCCCAGATAGCCATCTAAGAGGTGGAATAAAATAATGCTTGCAACTTAAAAAAAAAAAAAAAGCAAATGTGAGCATCCAGATAAAAAGGAATAGAAGGAATTATACCCGAGACAAGCAGGCAAATAATTCAAGGCCTTTTATTCAGTTATTTCAAAAATATTTGTCGATCATTTGTTTCAAAATGTACATTTAAAAAAATCCATACAAAACCGTAATTTGTTTTAAAACCGGACAGAAAAAAAAAGGATTTGGAAAAATGTTCACTGAAAGTAAAAAGAGCCCCCCCCCCCCAAAAAAAAAAACCCTTTTACATGAAAGCATAAATATGGCAGGTACAAATTTTCCTTGAGTTCCTTGTTGAAATTTGGTCCATAACATGAACAGGCTAAAGTAGAAAAACAAAAAAACGCTTTGTCCACATTTGCATTATGAGTTGCTCAGGGCACCGGCAGCCTCAGCTCATCCTTCAGATGTTTGTTAAACAAGAGGAACTGAAAAAATGAGGTGTGTAGTCTCATTACATAAACACTTGAATCTGTACCCAAGGAAATGGTGGTACTTACAACCAGTCAGATCTGATCAGATGACCAGGGCTGTCCATGTGTGGCCGATTCCCAGGAAAACCTCCTTCCTCTCCACACGAACAAGAAACTCTAGAACCCTTACAGCGAACTGATGGTGATGCCTCAGGTGTCACACGGCTCTTATTCCCAGATGCTGACTTATTAATGCCCCATCATGAGGATGTTTTTCCTTTTCAACAGTTTTAAAACTATATGGACTTCAAAGATGATGCTACAGTGTTCCACTTAGAGTGCCACCAGGGTCACAAGAATGACAGCAACAGAGGGAGCGTGGCTACTTTCTTCTGTGGGGATGACGACCACCCTCCCATGGGTCCTGTCCACCCCAGTGGCCAGGCACCGGAAGGGACAGACGGCCTGTGGGAAAGACCACTGGCTAGGAGAGGTATTGCACAACCCGGAAGAGCAAGGACGAGGCAGGCGAGGGGCGGGCACACCGCGTGGGGGGAAGGGGTGCCCTGCAACAGTCCCCCCGGACCCACGTCAGACGGGCACCTGTGAGCGCCGCTTGTGACCGGGAAGTGAGAGTAAACACCTTACCGCAGAAACGCGGGGTCGAACGGGAAGCAGTATGGATGAGAAGAGGCTAGAGCCAGGGTACCTCCTCTTTCACGTGCAAGGGGAGCTGGATGAGCAAGGCTTACCACGTCGGCCGAGGCGCGGAGGTCTGGTGCCCCTGGGAGCCCCGAGCTTCTCTGACAGGTAGGTGCCCATGAAGGGGCCCTCACAGCCACCAGACACAAGGGAGAAACCGGACACCACCAGACCCGGACAGTGGCGGTGAGGCTAAGATGAATGAGGTGAAACTGTCACAATCCGGTCCCTTTAACATGTAACTGTGCCAGGGCCCGGGGGGCTGGCCACACAGTGCAAGTGGAGGCCAGGAGACCATGGCACATAAGGCACTTCTGACACAAAAAGATACAGGATCAGCTCGGGGCAAAAAGGGGCCGCACAGAGCTGGAATCCCCGTGCTTTTCGGGGCCCTCCGTAAAGAGAGCGAGCCGCTGGGGGGAGGGGGCAGGGGACTGGCAGTCACCCTCAGCCCTTTGAGAGGACTCACTGTTCACGAGAGAACTAGGCTCCAGGGGGGAGCTGGTGAAGGCTCCTCGCGGGGCCGGAGACTCGGCCTAAGTTCCAAGTGATCTGTCAAGACCCAGTTCTCCAGTCCTGCCCAGTCCCTCCTGAGGAGCTGGGCTGTGAGCTAGGATGGCAGCCGGGAGGGGGAGAAAGGCCACTCCCCACAGAAGCAGAGGCCCCGGCCATCAGGAACGGGTTCTGTTCACTGGGACGCTGACGCCCCAGCAGGGGAGTGAGTCCTGTGCAGACCTCCCTGCCTTCCTGGCCCCCAGGCCTAGCACAGACCACCAAGGAGGCTGAAGCCCGAAGGAAACCCTACGTGGTGGGGGGGCTTCGCGCCACTTTGCATTTAAAAAGGCTCCCAGGGACTAGAATTGTGTGTGGAATCAGGAGGGGGCGCACTCTCCGCCCCTATACCTCTCACTCAGCACTTAGGAGGAAGTCAAAGGTACGGAGAAAGAAGGTCCCCACAGCAAACGCAGCTGCATGCATCCCAGAACAGCCCGCCCGGCGCCAAGTCTTTCAAGTCAAGAGGAGCATCTGCAGAGGTGGCCAGAGCACAGGTGTCGAGTCTGGTTTCTGAAACGTTGGTAGCTCCACCTTGGGACAGGAAGGGAAAAGGTTCTCCCCAAGATGCAGGTCTGGCTCGGCCTGCTTCTCCTTCCCCCAGAACCTGCCCTGCCTTCAGAAGGGGCACCTGTAACCTACTATAGTGTAGCTGTCAGAGCCTGGAGAGTAAAAATAACTTCCCATCACGGAGCCTCCAAGGAGGGGCACTGGCAGCTGGGATCACCCGTCCATCCCCCAGCCTCTCCCACGCCACCCTGCCCGGCGCCCCTGCACGCGTGCCAGCCAGGGATGCTGGGAGGGCGGGGGCTGCTGAGGTAGGTTAGCATCTGCTCTCCTCCTGGCGGATGGCACTGAGTGGCCTCTCAAACTTGGGGGTCTGGCCGGGCCTTCACAGAGAGTGTTTAAGACTGAAGAACACAGAACGGCCAAATCAGGACAAGCCAACCCAAGAGGCTCTCAGGACGAACTGGAAGTGAGTTCTTTCGGCCCCTGGTAACATGCTTCGAGCCAGCCTGCCATGGCTTGGCTCTGCTCTGAAGCAAACATGCCAGGCACGCCCGGGGTGACAGAACACCTACAGTTTTCCTCTCACCCTCCCCTCAAACCATTCCTGAAACTGGCCGGTGGGACGCTAGCCTCACGCATGGTCTCGGGTTTCACGCAGCAGGAAAGATTTTCCCAACTCTCAATCAGGGACCCAACCCCGTCCTTTAGGAGGTGGCGAGAGTTAGCCCGGCCCCGGGCTGGTGGTACTACCTTGAGGAGGCGCACGGTACGAGGGGCCAACTTACAGGAGACCAAGGGCACACCAAGCACGTGTGCTCTGGCGGCGATCACCTCTGAATGTGAGAAGAGTCACTGCCCGATGGCAGGACCTCGGCTGCAGCTCCCACCTCCCGAGCCCACAGCAAGGAGGCCAGGTACCCGCTGAAGGCATGACTCAGCAGTGCTCCCTGGTGGGGGGGCGGCCTCCTGCACGCAGCAGGAGCAGTGCCAAGGCCAGGGACACAGCCTGGAGAGGACTGGGCCAGGCTTAGGAGGCTGCAGGCTGACGTGGGCTGCACAGCATCCCTGGGCCAAGTAGGAACACCGGCTCAGTCACAGTCACAGCCACAGCCTCGAGCGGGGAGGGAGGACCATTTGACTGAATGGCTGAGGGGTTCCAGACTGGGCCTGCGGGGTTGGTACAAGCCGCCCTTCCACCAACATTCTGCTTTGCAGCCCAGATAAGTGTCAGAGAAGAAGAAGGAAAGATGGGAAGAATTCGCATTTTCAAAAGCACTGTCCCTCTCCTAAGGGTAATCAAAATAAGAGAAGATCTTCCCATCTCCCCGGCCTAATCCTGAACAGAGAGATGAGGGTCTACCAGGGTGTCAGGAAGCAAGTCCCCAGGCACTGGTAGATTAAAACTTCTCTCTGATGCAAGTGATCTGGAGAAGGGAGCTTGATGAAAAGACCCACTTCCCTGCCTTCTGGGTAATAATCCAGTTTGGTTTCTACTGTGATGTCAGGAAGAGGACCAGCACATCAAATGACACTAACATTCTTGTGCCCACAGCATTCAGGCCTCCTTGCTGAGAGCCTAGCTCCTTGCTGGAGGCCTTGTCTTTGGGGAGAGGGGGAGACCATGTGCGGGAAGGGGGCCAAAATATGCACATCAGCACGGCTGTGTCTGCCCATCTAACCAGCAGAGCGATTCTGAGTCAGCCTGGTTTCAAACCATCTAAAACGCTGTGGGTGTGCTCAGCAGAGGACAACGACAATTCCAAAGGACACTCAGCAAGTGAGGCCAGAGGACAGGGGGCCCAGGTGACCGACCCTGGGGCACCAGGGGCCACGGGGGGCGTAGTGTTCCTGCCGCGAGAGAGATGAAGTCAGGTGCAAGGCCGGCGCCCAACTGGGCTGCTGGGCCTGGGGTTTAGCACCAGCACGTCCCCGGCCAGGCTGCTTTGTTAACTGCTGCTTGGTTTGGTTTTGGACGCTGGTGAACAGTGGGAAGAGCAATGCAGCTGGACCTGCCGAAGAAAGGCTAGGTTGGCGCCTCCATTGTTTCTGCTGCGTTACTTTCCGGGAGGGCCCGCCGCTCTGGTCGCTTTGCCGCTGCTGCAGAGTGGGAAGACTCACCCTCCTTCAGCACATCCCTGACAGAGAGAGCGGGCTGGTGTCCAGGACCGGCCACTGGTGAGCTCTCCCGAGTCATGGGACCCGAGACAGCACCATCCTTCTGGACTGAGTCATCATGTCCCAAAGCCAAATGCCTTGGCGCTTCCAACTAGCAGCGGCCCCGCGGGGCCTCAAGATGGTGCGCGCAGGACTGGAATCATACTCTCGTCAGTTCCTCGGCACCTAGGAGACGACGATCCAGGAGGGCCAGTCTCCCCTCCTGCTGCCCATCCGCACGGGGATCTGCCGCCGGCCCTGGTGGAGGCTCCCCGGCACGAGGCTGCCGACCCGGACAGGTCCTGGGGATCTGGGTGGGGGACGGCCAGCACTACAGGCTTTGCCTCCTCTCGTTGTAAAAATCAGACACAGAAAAATTGCACAGTAAGGTAAATTAACAAGTAAAAAGAGAAGGAAACAGCTGTGAAGGAAGAGAAAGAGGAGGCCAGCAGAAAGGTAACCGTGAGAGGCCAGGCTTCTAGAAAACCCGACACAGGACAGAGGTGAGGATGTGAGGTGGCTGGAGGGAGGGAAAGAGGAAGATTTTTGGTTTTATTGAGAATGGTTCACAGAGAAAGAAGAGAAAGCCAAGACGTAAAGAAGAGGAAAAGGCCCTGTGTGAAGACAGGTTTCTACTGTGTGAGATGGGGCATCGGAGCAGGAGGGGGGCCTCCCCGCTGGGCCCGCGAGAGCATTCCTGTTCTCAGCACCTCGGCCCTAAGGAGACTTGAGTTTCTTAGTCCGTGTGGAGGTTCCGTTCTCTGCTTTCACCACTCCGTTTTCGTGGTAACCTGGGAATGAAGGGAGACAAACGCAGTGTTTCCGCTGGGGCAGGAGCGGGAGGCTGCGCACAGGATGAGCCGAGGGGACCTAGGCTGCAGCCCCCACAGCAAAGAGCACCAGCAGGCGGCTCCCAGGGGCTCCTGCCCCCCCCCCAGGGTCTTGCTTCACTTGAGGTGGGTGGTCTCCGACTGTCCTTCCGCGGGAGGGGCTGGATGACACACAGCCACCAGGGAACAGGCAGAGGCCCACCCGCCACCCGCCCGGGCCTGAGGTGGGGCCAGAGCCTAGGCCTCAGCTCCTCTCGGGCCCCTGCGGGGCACCAGCCCCCTTCAGCAAAGGTCCCAGGACACGGAACGGTCAGGAGGAGGTAGAGAGGCTGCAGGGACAAGGCCTTACTCTTCACCTGGCGCTCCTCTGACAGCAAAAGCGTGCTTTTCATTGTTGCCCTAAACACCGCGTTTGCTCGCTCAAAGTCAGGCACACCTGGCTGCAGCCCCCCCCACCCCGTACCCGCCCCACCGCCAGCCGGGCCTGACTCCTTGTCACACGCAGCCGCGCACGCGCCCTTGCCGAGCAGGCCACACCTGGAGAGAGGCCGGCGACTCAGGAAACAGAGCCTGGTGCAGACAGGCCCCCAGGCTGGACAGAGAGCGCGGGGCTGGCAGCGAGCGCCCCAGGACCTGGCGGGGGCCAGAGGAGAAGCGGCTGTCTCCCGAACGCTGCCCCCCAAGCACTGTGTCCCCTCAGGCCACCCCTGAAGAGAGAGGCAGAGCCAGCATCCTGGGAGACGGCCAGGCCGAGATGCGGAGCATGGGGGCGGGTGAGGACCCAGAGAGCATCAGCCGCCCTTGATGGGGTCCCCGAGGCCACCCTGTGGACATGCTTCCAGCCAGAGCTCCCCACCCAGCCGCCGCCCTGCCCACCGTGGCCGCGAGGGCCCCCGCCGCGTCGGCCAGCCCCACCCACAAGCCGTGTGCGCCCAGCCACGTGCCAGTCAGGCCCTGGCACGAGCCGAGGAGCCCGGGGCCTGGGAGGAGGTGGGACGGGGCAGGGGCAGGCCCGGTCCAGGGCCCTGGGGGGGTCCCCGCCCGCCCCGCCCCGCCCGGACCCGGCACTCACCCGACTCCCTCTTGATGAGCCTGGCTGCCAGCCTGGGTGCGGCGGGCACTCTGCGCTTGGCGCTCTGCTCGCTCCAGTGCTCGCGCCAGTGCCGCAGCTGGGAGTGGATGAAGCGCCACATGAGCCAGGCCTGGGCGGCGCACACCAGGAGCAGCATGCACAGCCTGTGGGCAGAGGGCTCGGTGGGCTCTGGCTGCACGTGCCCTGGGCAGGGGGCAGGCCAGGACCCCGCGGTGCCCGGCCCACCACCACCTCCGGGAAGAGCGTGGCCCGTGCCGGGCTCCGCTCCAGTGCCTCAGGGCGGGCGGAGGGACCAGCGGGAGGAGGTGACAGATGTGGGTCCAGCTCCTGTCACACCACCCCATGCCTGCTGGACCCACAGCACAGAGCACGGCCCATGTAAGCCCCGTGTACGTCGGAAGGATTCAAGTGAACTGAACTACAATGCAGCAGAAATATTTCTAGAAGTGCGGCTTCTCACCCGGCGAGCCACGTAGAAGCTGAGCAACCTGGACAAACCTCTGACCCCTGCTGGGCCCCGGGTGTCATGGAGACCGTGGCCTCCTCGCTGCCCTCCTGGCCGCTGTGCGAGGCCACTGGCCACACTGTTGAGAACACGCTGTAAAGAGCCCACGCGTGGTTGTAACAGCCAACTGAGAGGCTGGACGTGAACCCGGCACCCCCAGTGAGGCGCAGGCCAGGGGAGGAGCTCCCAGCGGCACCAGCACCAGGCCTGCGGCCTGACGGACTGGGGCCAGGGAGGGAAGACGGATGTGATGGAAGCAGGAGGCTGGCATCTCTTCTCCCCTCGGGCCAGATGTCTGAGATCCCCCCCCTAAACATCACGGTGCGGGAGACCCAGCGGTCTGCGGCCTCCTGACCTTCGGCAGAAGCTGTGCCGAGTTCGGGAGGCTCCTGCCCAACTCACCTGCAAAGTAACGTGTTGAAGTTCCCTTTCTCGGGGTCAAAGGCCTGGTTTTCCACGCGAGCGAGGCCAAAGCCAATGGCCAGCACGGCGAGGGTGAGGATGAAGAGGCGGGTGACTCCAAATGCAGCAGCCCAGGCGTTAAACCTGCCCGAGGAGCGGGGGACGTACGTCAGCCTTCAGGCAGCAAGCGGGGAGAGGGTCCAAGGGTGGCCGAGGAGGGTGCTTGAGGGATGAGGTGTCCAGAGTAAGACGCTCCAGGAAAAAATAACCCCAGGGCCCTGCCTACCGCCAGCGCGGGGCCCTCCCCTTCGCCGGGCCTCAGCCCGTCCACATCACTCACAGCTTCTCGTTGTTCTCGTCTGCAAAGTAGCAGAGCCGAGCCGTGTGGAAGAGGAACTCGGTCGAGTACTGCAGCAGGAGCAGGACCAGGCCCAGGCGGCTCAGGCTGTGGAGACACAGACAAGCCTCACAGTCCCCACGAGGTACCGCGAGAGCGGGGGGCAAGGGGCCTGGGCTCCTCTCCCCACTCCCGCCCTCCCTGCGAGCCCCGCCTCATCCTTCAGGATTCAGATCTGCTGCCACACCTTCAAGAATTTTCCTTAATACTGATATGTCACCTGTCCCTTCTGGGCCCAGCGCCCCTCCTGCTCCCACTGTGGCCCTGGCTGCCTTCGCAGCACCTGTCACTCTGTGTTCATCACCTGGCACGGGACCACGCACAGAAAAGGTGCTCAGAACAAATTGCTGAGCTTTGCGTGTAGAAATATGAGGGATTGGCGGGAGGAGATTCCTACAGTCTGATTTTTTTTTTTTGTCATCCAAGTCTTCACAGCCAAGAGGTATACGAAGAAGCAAAACTCAACACAACATCAAAATACGTGCTAGTGAACCAACCTCTTCAAACACGAGCCCCCATTCCCATGCCCCCTGCTCACTTCCGGTCATGATGCTCTTACTGACTTTCCCAGGCAGTCTGCTGCCGATTGTCGGCTGTGGTTCAAACAGACGCTAGAAGGCTGCACAGTGAAGTTACAGGTGCTGCTGAGCAGGCAGGGCCTTGGGAAGTCAGGGAGATACTGGGGGGCTGGGTGGAAAACCCGCGGGCCATGCTGAAGAGGGACCCCGTGATTCCACCCAGGGGGACCAAAGAAGTGTGGAGTCATTCAGGAAAGTCACTGGATCCTGAGAACGGTCAAGAGAATGATGTGAAAACCCAGTGTCTCCACACAGCCGAAGGTGGCCAGCAGGATCCTGCCCTTGACCATCTCAAGCCTTACCGCCCAGCCCTGCTCCCACCTCAGGGCCCTGACCCTGTGGTCCCCTCTCCTGCATAGCTCCACCCAGGTATCCACCTGCCTGGCTCTGTCACTCGCGCCTCTCTCTACCCGAGTCCCCTCCTCAGAGAGCTCTTCTCACCACAGGGGGCCAAGTGGACGAGTCAGCCGTCCCATCACCCTGCGTTACTTTCCTCCTCACACTTAACCACCTGGGGAAACTCTCTCATTTCCTTATTTATGGTCCACCCCCCGGCCCACAGAGCAGGAGAGCAGGGCCTTGTCTGCCTTCACCCAGATGGAACTGCCCCTCCTGAAGCAGGGCTGGGCCCACGGGTGAGTGAAGGCCCCCAGGGCCCAGCTCTCCCCAAACAAGACCCCGCATCGCTGGCCACTTCAAAGGTCTGTCTTCCTTGGGAAACCCTGCAGCCGAGGGTCTCTCCTTTCCCCACACTCACTCACTTCTGAAAACTAGATTAAAAGGAGTGGAGAGGGGCTTCCCTGGTGGCGCAGTGGTTGAGAGTCCGCCTGCCGATGCAGGGGACACGGGTTCATGCCCTAGTCCGGGAGGATCCCACGTGCCACGGAGCGGCAGGGCCCGTGAGCCGTGGCCGCTGAGCCTGTGCATCCGGAGCCTGTGCTCCGCAATGGGAGAGACCACAACAGTGAGAGGCCCGCGGACCGCAAAAAAAAAAAAAAAAGGAGTGGAGAGAGGCGGCCGCACCTTGAGCCGGGCCGGCCTCGCTGGGGCCGGGCCAGCGTGATTGCGAAGGACCGGCTGCTCCGCCTTCTGTTCTAGCCTCTTTCCAGAACAAGAACTCGGCCCAAACAGGGTCAGACCCTGCCCTGCTCCTCTCCGTCCCCATCCTCGCGGCACGGCTTCCTCACACCCACCTGTACAGGAGCCTGCGACATAAGAGCAGAGCTGCACCCACACGGCCTCTGCCCCTCAGAGGCCCAGCCAGGCACGGACGCCGCTCTCGGCCTCCAGAGACCACAGAGCAGACCCGGCTCCGGTCCCCCGGGTCAGTCATTCTCACGGGATGCCTGCCATGCGGACCGAGGAGACCCCGGGCACCTGAGCAGGTTATACAGCGCGTGCTCTCCTATACCGCAAAAGCCAAGCCCAAGAAAAGTCCAAACTAGAAGGACAGGTCCTGCTCAGCAGTGATTCTCTTCACAAGAGACACTCAAGGCAACAGCAACTCTGCTGACATGAGGACAACCAAACAGTGATGACTCTACCCCTCATTACAAATCGAAGGGAAGGGGAGTCCGGGGCCACGGGCTCTGACAGCGCCGCCGGCTGGATGCACGGGGCAGGAGCCCCGCTCAGGCTGCCCTCAACCTGCAAAGCCCTGGTTCACGGCCCGCGTCCCTGGGATCCTGCCCTGGCCCTGTCTCGGGTTGAGGTAGTCGCTCCTCTGGGTTCCCACGGCAGGTGGTCCCTACGGTAGCACAGTGCTCATCCCACTAACCATCTTTACCTTTGTCTGTAACTGTCTCTCCTGCTCGGCAGAGAATGATCCAGTAACCATAAAGGAACCCTCCATTATCCATCTGTGTGTTTCCAGGTCTTAGCATGGTGCTCGGCACACAGTAAGTGACTAAGAAATGCCTCCTGATTAAATGACTGTGTGGAGAGAGGCACAGACATAAAAGGCAGGGAGATCTGGCCCGCTCCGGGTGTCACTCACTTGAAGAGGTACGCGCCCGCAATATGGACCAGGTACAGGCAGATGTACTGGAGCTGCCGGGGAATCTCCTCCTGCAGACAAGAGAGGCAAACAGGACATGTGCTCATTCCCTACCTGGAGATGCAGGGGGAGGTAGAGGAACAGGGAGTGCAGAAGGACATGGCAGGCCTGCGGAGCGGGGCTGCCAGACAGCCCCAGGTCCCACCGGGGACACGCGCACCTGGCTGCACAAAGTCTGAAGGCGACTCAGTGGTCAGGGGGCGGGACTAGGTTGAGAAAGAAGAGACAGGGACTGGGGAACAGGGCTTTAGGAAATCAGCCAGAGAGAAGCTTTAAAAAAAAAAAAAACAACTGAAGGAAAGGCAAAGAACTCTCCATCCGCTCCCCCGAAGATGAGTCAGGCCCCCCAAAGCCACATGTCTCGTGTGGGAGTCTGACAAGGCAGCCCCCCTCCTGGAGGTCATCAGGGAGATTCCAACAGGCACTGGCTCAGCATCTCACTCAACCCGCCAACACACCCCCGTGTCCACCCCCACACGTGGGCGGCCAGAGGGAGGGCCAGCAGCATCAGAGGGGCCACCAGTACTCACCTTCCGTACCTTCTGGAAGTAGAGCTCAGGAAGTGCATGCAGCCAGTAGGCCAGCTGGCACAGGTAGAAGAACTTCACCTGGAAGCTGGAGACAAGGGGGCCAGTCACCCAGAGGGATAGAGAGAAGCCCCTACAGGTGCTCGCCAAGCACAGGGTGGGGTGGGGGCAAGGGCCAGGCGGTGTGAGGAGCTGGGCCGAGAGGGAGGAATGGAGGGGTGGGGGGATGGTGAGCTCCACGCCCCTGAGCCCAGGACACTGCTCCACACACAAGACCATGCACGTGGAGGGACATGGGAAGTCCATGAAAAGACACAAGAAGGATGAAGAGAGAGCAGAGGAGGGAAGGCTGAGGAGGGAGCCGAATCCAGAGCGCTGTCGGGGCAGGAGATGCCAGGTGGCAGGAATGAGCTGAGGAATAAAGGGGTCTCAGCACCAGAGGGAGGACCTAACTCTGCTCAGTCCCCAGTGCTGCTGTTCTAAGGGCCGTGGTCTCTGGGCGATGTGGGCCCAGCTCTGCCCTCCCGGTGTCCTGTCGGCGCAGGAGAGGAGGGGCACTGCCTCCCGTGGAGGCCTGAGGGGAGATGTGTGCAGACGTGTGCAGGTGCCAGGAGGGCGCAGCCCAGAAAGCTCCGTGCAGAGGCTCTGCTTCCCCGCCCCTCCCAGGCGCTGTAGGAACCTGCTACAGACCCAATGTTTGCACCCCCTCGAAATTCACACGTTGAAATCCTAACCCCTACGGTGATGGTACCGGGACGTGGGGCCTCTGGGAGGTGATTAGGTCACGGGGCTGGAGCCCCCCAGAGTGGGATTAGTGCCCTTGTGAAAGAGGCCCCTCTCTGCTTCCGCACGTGAGGACACAGAAGATGTCATCCATGAAGCAGGAAGCGGCCTCACCAGACACTGGGTCTGCCAGCCTCCAGAACTGTGAGGAAGGGATGTCTGCTGTTTATAAGCCCCTGGGAACCCTGCCACCTGTGGTGCTCTGTGATGGCAGCCTGGGCAGAGACAGGGCCCTGTGCCCGGGCTCCTGCAGTTGACGTGTCATTTCAGGAACTGCCCGTAAGAACACGGGGAGGAAGCAGCTCCCAGACGTCTGCCTCCACGACACTGGGCCCTGCCAGGCTCGGGGGCGCTCTGGTCCTCGGGCTCGCCGGCCTGTGTTCTGCCCACATTGTGGGGTGAGAAGCCAGTGCACCAGCCCGCTCCTCCCTGGGGACCGAGGGTGACAATACTCACGGGAGGTACACATGCGGATAGTCTTCCCAGAGGCTCCTTGGGTTTGTTAAATATCCTTCCTGTAGTGGACGGGGAGAGACAGCGTTTAGAAATGTGAACGTGAGGCCTGCTGGGCGGGCCTGGGGGTCAGGGGTCAGGGTCGCACCTAGTCCCCAGCTGCCAGAATGAGGAAGGAACAGGAAACGTGAACATGGAACCCCTCTGGCACTTGGCCCGTCTCTTTACTATGGAAAAGAGCCGTGATGTAGGAGGAAGAGCCCTGCTCTGGGGTCAGAGGACCCGAGTCTGACTGTGGGTCTGACACTGATCAGCTGCGTCCTCTGAGCGAGTCAGTCTCCCTGAGCTCCAGCTGGCTCCTCTGGAAAACGAGGATCAAAATACCCTCCCAGAGTTATTGTTAGAAATAAATGTGACAGTTTATGTTTACGTGACAGCGTCGAGTGTTACGCCTGGCGTGCAGGCACTCAGGAAATGCTTGTAGAGTGAATGAGCAAATGGACTCCGGAGCCACCGTCCCCTGGAAAAACGAAAAGCCTACTTTGGCTCTTCACACCACCACAAATAAAAAGTATGGCAGGACCCCACAGGCCTCCCCGACGGGCCTCACGTGTGACACTTATCACATAGCACCATCACTGCTGGCCGCCAGGGCTCTGCTCGTGCCTTCTTTTTCTGGCGCCTCCTTGCATCTCCAGTATCTAGCCCAGGTCCTCTTACAGAGTAGGGGAGGTGACCTGAAAACCCTCCTGTTACAAAACATCTGGACATGCTGGATGCAGTCTAACAAATGTTCTTTTCAATGCAAAGCTGAGCTCACAATAAGAAAGGGAAAACCCGAGGGCCCAAGAGGGTAGGGAGCTAAAAGCCTGAGCGGGTGAGGCTGTAGGGCCAGAGCTTTCGCGCCTGCGTGGGAACAGAAGATCCTTAAAGGGCCAGCACCCCAGAGAAAAGGGAGACTAGGAAGGGTCCGACGAGCAAGGCAGGGAGAAGAGGACCATGTCTGCTCACCCGGGGCTCAGGATGGAAACAAAAATATGACCCCCTGAAAATCTGTAACTTCAGATTCGCTTTCACGTGGGTTTGGAGCTCAAATGGACATCACCTGTGTGTCTAGGCGCCCTCACACTAAGAACTTGGTATTAACAGTATCTGTGGGCCGGTGAGGCCATCGGGACGTACTTTCATCCGAGAACGTACAGGGTTCTCACACACACAACCTTGCTAAAGATGAGTTGATAATCCAAGATTACAGAACATACGCGGAACGGCCCACCACGAGCAAAAGGAGGCTGACGCCACGCGACGCTCAGAGAGGGCGGAGGAGGTGACGCCAGCCTGACCTCCTTTTAGAGACAGGGAAAGGAGGGAGTTCCCAAAACAAGGGGGCTTCTTGGCAGCACGACTGAATTCTGAGCTGCGCCTCAAGCCTCCTGGTCCAAGCGCCCCAGGCCTGGCTGTCCTGGTGAGTCAGAAATAAACCAACCGACTGGTGGCTTTGATGAGGAGGCCCAAAGCCTCAGATGTTCCCACCGGGACTGAGGACGGGGCTGCCCTGGGCGAGGAGGAGGCCCAGCAGTTCCCAGAGGAGCCTCCAGGTGACTACTGGAGCCTCAGTCATACTCCCACCCAGACCCTGAGTCCCTAAGTGCCCCTGGACATTTCAGATACGACCAGGGCCTCATTAGCACAATGACTCAACAGACGGGTCCCATCAGGCGCAGGCCCCAGGGCAGTCACAGTAACATAGGTTTGAAGGAAAGGGTCTCCCCACCAGACCCTCCCGGCCACATTCCATCTCCCCCTCAGAGTCCGGCAGAGGTGGGAGGCTCTGGGGCGCGCGGGGGTGGGAGGAGAGGGCTTTTCCGCACCCACACTGGGGCCACCCCTCTTTGCCCCCCACACGCCGCCTGCATCAGATGCCGGCCCCGGGCACACAGGTTCACGGCCTTCGCCCTCCCTACCCCCTTTTCCAGGGAAACCGAAGTGGGGAGGCCATTCCTTCCTAGAGGAAACACCAATGTATTTAAGGATGAAAATGGTACTTCTGGGATCGAAGTGGGAGAAGAATTTCTGCCAAAAAGACTGGCCAAGAAAAGCAGCCCTGACAGAAATCTAAGAGCTCAAAAAGCCCAGACGATCCTGTGATTTTAAACAGGGACCCTCCCCAGCTTGGCGCTTTACTTAGGAGACAAAGAAATCAGAACTGTGAAGCCAACCAGCAGAGAAAACGCCCCAGAACAATGCTGCCGGCCTGTGAGGGGCAGTCCCGGGCGGAGGGAGGCAAGCAAGGCGGCCAGAGGAAGAATGACTCACTGAGAACAGTCTTTTCCAGACCTCGGGCCAGGCAACCGCCCAGGGAGGCTGGGCCGGGGCCCCTCGGAGCTCAGCACAGCACACCGAGTGTGGGCTCACCCCCGGATCCCACCCGCCGGTGGGCCTGCCGTCTGGGGGGGCGGCCTTTAAGATCCTCTGTTCTCTCCTGATTCTACAAATCAACCAGGAGCAAGGGAGGCCTCAGCGGGCTGGCACACCCCCTCCCCTCCCCTGCAGTCTTCCTTTCCAGTGGATGAACAAAAAGCACCACAGGAAGAGAGAACAGCATCTAGTCCTGACACAGCCAGCTGCTGCCTGGACCCAGTGGTCCTTCAGGAACACCCACTGCTGAGGTTCTGCTGCAGGCAGTCTGTGTGTCAGAAGGCAGCCCTTACCTGAGCCCCTGCCTCAGAGGCGCTCCCGCTGAGCGCTGGGCTGCAGGTTTAAACTGTGAAGGGAGGCACCCTGGGAAGCCAGGCACCCTCCCACCCTGCTTTCCCAGTACAGCGTTTTGCTTCCCCTGAACGATGAACAGTAGCTGAGAGCTAGACTAAAGGTAGGAGGTCGACATTCTTATTAAATTATCAGTTGGCCCATCTACGACCCCATCACCCTGCCTGGATCAATGCAGAGAGAAATGTCTGAATTCAACACCAAGATCAAGCTGGTTATTTCGTGGGGGGAGGGGTTTAGGGTCAATTTTTACTTTCTTTTTCAAACTTTTATGTATGGCTTATTTTTTTTTAAATGATCATCTATGATGTTCATAAAAACAAGCAATTCATTACTTTAAAAACTGTTGAAGGTTGGAACAAGAAGAGGCATTCGCAGTCGACTTATTCCCTCTCAGGACAATATTGAGTGAGCACCTAGCGTGCACCAGGAACTGCGCTTGGGGGATAGCAGTGCGCACGGTGCCTGCTCCCAGCAGCTCGGGGGCTAGTATGAGGGAGAGGCAGGCAGCAGAGAACACACAGCTCAAGAAAATGCCACAGCAACAGGCGTGGTGCAGCAGACACAAGTGTGCGGGGAGTTCTCTGCAGAGGTTACGTGTAGGTGGAGACCTGGATGGCATGGGGTGTCAGGGGACAGAGCACTGCAGCAGAGGAAGCACCCCTGCAAAGCGCAGGAGGCAGGAGAGCCAGGAGAGTCAGAGGAACAGGGGGGCTGGGGCCAGCGAGCCAGACGGATAAGGCCAGCAGCACCCGGAACACAGGAGTGAGGAGGGAGCGAGGAGGGAGACCCACTTCAGCACGAGCGCGACAGGGGATTTGAGGCAGGGGATGCGAGACCTGGTTTATGTTCTAAAAAGATCTGTCTGGCTGGGCAGACGATGGATTGGGGTGAGCGGACACAGGAGTGGAAACGGCCTCCTTCCAGAAGTGGTCCAGCAAGAGATGCAGCTCAGGGCCTCCTGACCATGGCACTAGTGACACCTGGGGCCAGACTGTCTTTGCTGTGGGACTGTCCTGGGCACGACAGGACATTCTGCTGCATCGCTGGCCTCGACCCACGAGATGCTGGTAGCATACTGTCAAGCATCCCCTGGAGAGACCCATGGGCCCGGGGGCAGAGGTGCAGGCAGAGAGCAGCGACAGACGCTCCACGTGCTGGTGGCAGTGGGTGGGGGAACCTGCCGACGGACTGACCGGAGAGCGAAAGAGAAGAATCGAGAACAAGTCCATCATAACAGAAACATAGGATTTAAAAAACTAGCTGTTTTCACTCCTTTTACAAAACGACCCTCTCTTCTTCAGTCACCTTCACTCCGTGCAGAATGGCCTGGAGGGAGCAGGTGAGGTCTGAGAGCCACACGATGTATCAGGACCTGGGGTCACTGGAACTTTCCAGGCTCCCTTGGTCTCTATTCTCCTTCTGGAGATGCTGAGTGGAGACCTGGCTATCACCATGGTAAAAGCCTGTTATAAACGTCCCCAGAAAAGCGTAGCAGCTCCAGACTAACGAGCATCATTTCTAAGCCCTGGACGGCCCAGGAGCCTTGCACACTCTGGAACTGGGGGGAAGTCCCTTGGCTGTTGGCCTGCGAATCTGGTGAAACTGGGTCACAGCTGGGGTGGACGGTGGGTTGAGGCAGAAAGGGCAAAAGTGATTCAGAGATGAGGCAACGCTTCTCCTGCAAGAGCAGTTAAATGTCCGTGGGACCCGAGGGCTGTTCTGCTTCAAAGCAGCTCGGGGTCTCCAGAGGCCGCGTAAACCAAACACCCAGTGGCTGGGAGAGGCCTGAGCCCAGCCGTACCTAGACTTCCCGGGGCCGCACGTGGGCTGCACAAAGGTAGGGGGCGCTACTCACACAGACCACACACGAAGTCTGCCCCAGGGGGAGTACAATGTGGCAGGCCTGCTCCAGAGCACAGAGGCCTTGGGCCCTGCATTGAAAATTCCTATTGTTCTGTGATTAAATGATAATAGAAATAAAGGTAATATACAAAAGGGCATGCTGAGTCCCGCTTTGAGAATATGGATTCAGCGTTCAGCTCGCAGACAGATAGGTTGGTCTTGAAGACGGGAAAGCTCATCACTGTTGCTAAGGAAGGGGAAGGGGGTGAGAGGTCAGGGGAGGCAGGGAAGGAAGCTTCTAGGAGGTCACAGGGTTGCTGAATTTTCCAAGCCCCGGCCCTGGATTTCTCACAGGACAATTCTAGCTCCTGAGGAAGAGACCCGGTTACAGACAGGAGGTGCTCCAGGTTGGGGGGGAATGGAGGGGATTAAACACTTCCTAGGACGACAGGCTTGTTACAAAGGACCCCGAAGGGCTGTCCACATTCCTTTGTACGAAGGAATTTTGCTGTATCAAAGGTTGCTTGAAATAAGAGTATTCTTGTGCAAAAGGGGAGGTGAGTCAACTGTCTGGTCCTCCAGGCATTCGTAGAAACAGCACTGACTCTGATGGGACCTGACGTGCATGCAGGGGGAGGCTGGCTGAGCCTCAGCAGGCCAGTGTGGTGCAACAGAACCAGACCCTCAAGTCCAAGGCCTGGCCACTTCAGAGCCACTGACCATGGGGCCACTGTGAAATCTGAGCTTGGATTTCTTCAATCCATAACACAGGTACCGGAATGAACATAAAACTCAGCTCAGGGGACAGCACCGTGCGAGGGCCCCAGGACGGAACACAGAGCTGTGGAGCTATACGCTGTCATCACCGTGACATCACATCATAACGACAAGTGTTTACTTTTGGACCAGAGGACGCTCCCCAGCTATTAAACAGCATCTAAACCACTGACTCCTCTCTCACAGCGATAACACGGCAGCCCGGGCCCCAGCCATCAGCAGCCCCTAGGACCACTCACCGTCACCACCACGTAGAAGCACCAGATCACCGAGCTGAGGTGAAAGACGACCAGCTGTCCAGATTCGTTGAACTTGCTGTGCTTGACCTTGGAGAGATGAAGCCGTTTGCTGATTTTCTAAAGAAGAGAATCCTGCATATTAACATGAGTGTACAGGTAACGGCAAGGTTTCAAACTCCTGTTTTCTCCCCACAAAAGGGCTGAAGTTTGAAGCCAGCCTCATCCAAGTTATTTCATGGAAGCCTCGTGTGTGCGTATAGTGTTTAGTTTAAGGCAAGCATTTTGAGAAAGCGGCGAGATGAATGTCTTTAGCTGAGATGTAAAGAAAACATCCCCCAAGGGTTGCTGTGTTCGACCCCTGAGGACATCGTGTCGTCATACGTCAGGCAGCTCCCTCCCGTTAATAAACACTGTGGTCCCACGTGCTACGAAGGCTTTGAGGGGGACGGAGACCAAACTGTGGTGCAGGAGATCCGGTTGCTGTAGGACCAACCAGGGCCTCCAAACAAAGCGGAAGCCTCACAGCTGCAGCCGCTCCACCCGCCGAACCCCCCCAGCTTCCCATCTCGGAATCCAGACACGTCACTCACGTCTAAAATGTACTCCTGCACCACAGCGTGCAGGATGATGGTGATGAAGATGTAGAACAAGACTGTGACCAGGTCCTTCGGCCCGTAGTGGTAGTGCACCGTCTCGCCATCTGTGGAGGCAACGAGAGCCACGTCAGCATCCCTGGGTGAGGAAGTGCTCTGGGACCCAAAACTGAAAGGAGATCTGGAGCAGAATGTGCTATCAAACGCTTCCCTTTGGCTGTAACCCCAGACTTAGAGGATGTTCTTCCCGAGAACCCCACCCACCCTCTGGACTTGGCCCTTGGGAGCACCAGTGCAGAGGGGAAAGGAGAAGCCAGCACACGGCGTATCATGACGATGTCTCCTGATCGGGGCAGGAAGGCACAGTGGCTGCAGCCAGCAACTGGAGACCACCAACCTCCATCATTCCCTGGCTGTGTGACTATAGAAGAGTGACCAACCTCTCTGAGCCGTAATCGCCTTCCCTGTAAAAATGGGATTGCAGTTATACTTCATCGAGGACGCATGATGCAGGGTTAAGAGTGTGGACTCAGGACTTCCCTGGTGGCACAGTGGTTAAGAATCCGCCTGCCAATGCAGGGGACATGGGTTTGATCCCTGGTCCAGGAAGATCCCACATGCCACGGACTAACTAAGCCCGTGTGCCACAGCTACAGAGCCTGTGCTCTAGAGCCCACGAGCCACAACTATCGAAGCCTGCACACCTAGAGCCCGTGCCCTGCAGCAAAGAGAAGCCATCGCAATGAGAAGCCCACGCACCACAACAAAGAGTAGCCCCTGCTCTCCACAACTAGAGAAAGCGCGCAGCAATGAAGACCCAACGCAGCCAAAAACAAAAATAATTAAAAAAAAAAAAAAAAAGAGTGTGGACTCAGAAACCTGAGCTTGTATCAAAGCTCTGCCATTTATTTCCTCCCTCTTTGTTTTTATTTTTTTGATATTGATTTTTTTTTTTTTTTTTTGCCAAACCACGCAGCTTGTGGGATCTCAGTTCCTGAACCAGAGATTGAACCCAGGCCACGGCAGTGGAAGCCCAGAATTGTAACCACTAGGCCACCAGGGAACCCACACCTCCCTCTTTTTCAAAAAAATTGAAGTATAGTTGATTTATAATATTGTGTCAGTTACAGGTGTACAGCAAAATGGTTCAGCTATATATATTTTTTAGATTATGTTCCAGTATAGGTTATTACAAGATATTGAATATAGTCCCTTGTGCTATCCATTAAATGCTTGTTGCTTGTCTATTTTATATATAGTTGTGTGCATCTATTAATCCCATACTCCTAATTTATCCCTCCCACCACCTTCCCCTCTGGTAACTAACTATAAGCTTGTTTTCTATGTCTATCTGTTTCTGTTTTGTAAACAGATTTATTGTATTATTTTTTAGATTCCACATATGAGTGATACCATATTTGTCTCTGACTTACTTCACTTAGTATGATAATCTCTAGGTCCATCCATGCTGCTGCAAATGGCATTATTTCATTCTTTTTTATGGCTGAGTGATACTCCATTGTGTGTGCATGTGCGTGTATAAAACTCCTTCTTTATCCAGAAAAAAAAAAGATGAAAACTTTAATTCAAAAAGATACATGCATCCCAATGTTCACAGCAGCACTATTTACAAGAGCCAAGACATGGAAGCAACCTAAGTGTCCATCAACAGACAAATGGATAAAGAAAATGTCATTTATTTCCTGTGTGACTCTGGAGCACCTCTGACCTTTCTGTGCCTCAGATTCCTCATCTGTAAAATGAGGATAACAGCAGTTCCTGTACTGCAGAGTTACTGTGAGAATGAGGTGACTTCAAAAGTGCAAAGCGCTTACTTAGAATAGTATCTGGTGCACAGTAAGCGCTATACATGTATTTGCTATTATTTTTGTTGTTGTTGGGCTATTGTGAGGATTAAACGAGATAATCTGTATGCAAGATACTTATCAGTGCCTATAACCATGGTAGGCATGCACTAAATAGTAGTTTAATAAAATATTATTTAGTAGTAATAAATTAGATGGAATCCCAGGTATCTAAGTTTTGTAAAGCTCTGCTACTACAGCCTCTCTCTCCGCGGACAGAGGAGGATTCGTGCCTTTGTTCCAGTTGGCAGGCCTGGATCCCTGGTGCTCTGTGGCCCGCCCTCCCCCAAGCAGACACATTGGCCCCCTTTCCAGCTGTGCTGCTTTCGTGCTGAGTCACACACGAGTCATCTCTCTTTGCTGGGATGCGTTTACCAGAAGGCAGGCCAGGGTGGGTGAGTTTCAGGGTGGCTGCAGAGCGAAGCAGAGCTGATTGGGTCACTCTGGGAGTCAACCCATGACCCCGCCACCCTGGACTGGGAGAATGCACTGGTGGTCGGGGGGTGGGGGTGGGGTGGGAGGGGGCAGTAAAGACATGGAGTGCATGAACTTTGAGATCAGACAAGCTTTCCCTTTTCCTCTCCCTCCTACCTTCCACAAAGACCCTACTCTGTGAGAGCCACTGGGCTAATTATTGAAACACGGAGATAAAAGACGCTGCCCTGGCTTCAGAGAGCACAGACCAGTGGGGAGACTGACAAATAAATGTACAATGACCTACAGACAGGCAGACAGCCACACAGGGAGCCAAGGCAATGGAGGGCCGACTCCAGCTGGGGCAGCCCCTCAGGGTAAACAGGAAGATATAGAAACTTGAGAACAAGCTGGGGCAGTCAGGTGTGGGGAGGAGGGCATCCTGGGCAGAGGACGCAGCATCTGCTAAGGATGCAGGCAAGGAGGATGCAGTGCTGCAGGCAGCCAGGGTACCACGTCAAGGGGTGTGGACTTTATCCTGAAGGCAAGGTGGAAACATCAAAGAATTCAAACTCAATAGGAAAATGAACAAATCTGGGCTTCAGAAAGTTTACTCTGGCAGCAGTAAACAGCATCGTGCCTGGAGGTAGACACCAGTGATGCAGGTAAGGAACCACAGGGACCTGAATTAAAGGGGAAAACGGAACAGGGAGGGAGGAGGGCCATCAGCGGCAGAGACCTGGTAAGACTAGGTGACTGACCCGGGAAGGGACTGAGATCAGGGAGGGGAATCAGCACTGAGGAGGAAACATGCGAGGAAGGGAAGAGATGGGCGTATGGGTCAGCCTCTCCTTCCTGCCTCCATCATAGGGCTGGCATTACCCTTGCCCTGCCTTCTTCATAAGGGAGGATCAAAGGAGACTAATTAGATGGCAGCATATTTTGAAACTATAAAATAACTAAACACATGCAAATTTCACCATCGAGACCAGCCTTATGAGGCAAAATAGGATTTATCCTCAATCAAATGAGCATGGTCCCATAGCAGTTAAATGACGTGTGTCAAGACTTTGGATTATCCATCTTAAAGCCTCTTCAGGTCACCTCCATTCGTCACCCCGTATACTATGGTTCCAAAGAGATGTGACCAGAGCCTTAAAACCTTCTTGAAACAAGAATGGATGGATAGACTAATACATTCTTTTTTCCTTTGCTGATGAGAGCTCCTTGCATGTTTATTCATCCACTAATAAACCACGTGCAGGGCCCCGTGCTGGGGACAGCAGGGTACGAGGGCATGGCCCTGCCCTCTCAGAGCTTAGCCAGTGCACACCAAATTCTCTACACCTAAAAACCAGAGGCCAATAACAACAGCAACAGCAAAAACAAAAACAACCAGATTGAAAAATGGGCAAAGATTTGCCACAATATGGATGGACCTAGAGATTATCATACTAAGTGAAGTGAGTCAGACAGACAAAGAAAGACAAATATCATGTGATATCACTTATATGTGGAATCTAAAATATGATACAGGGGCTTCCCTGGTGGCGCAGTGGTTGAGAGTCCGCCTGCCGATGCAGGGGACACGGGTTTGTGCCCCGGTCCGGGAAGATCCCACATGCCGCGGAGCGGCTGGGCCCGTGAGCCATGGCCTCTGAGCCTGAGCGTCCGGAGCCTGTGCTCCGCAATGAGAGAGGCCACAACATTGAGAGGCCCGCGTACCGCAAAAAAAAAAAATAATAATAAAATAAAATATGATACAAATGAACTTATGTACAAAACAAAAACAGACTCACAGACACAGAGAACAAACTTATGGTTACCAAAGTGGAGAGGGAGAGGAGGGATAAATTAGGAGTTTGGGATTAGCAAATACAACCTACTATAGATAAAATAAACAACAAGGTCCTACTGTATTGCGCCGGGGTACTATCATTAGGGAAATGTAGATCAAAACCGCAATGAGATACCATCTCAAACCCATGAGAATAGCCACAATTTAAAACAAAAAAAACCAAACAAACAAAAAACAGAAAATAACAAGTGTTGACGAGGGTGTGGACAAATTGGAACCTTTGTGCATTGTTTGTGAAAATGTAAAATGGTACAGTCACTATCAGAAACAGCAAGATGATTCCTTAGAAAACTAACAATAGAACTACCAGATGGTCCAGCAATCCTACTTCTGGATACAGACTCAAAAGAACTAGAAGCAGGATCTTGATGAAATATCTGTACACCCATGTTCATAGCACTATTCACAACAGCCAAAGGTAGAAACTACCCAAGTGTCTATCAACAGATGAATGGAAAGACGAAATGTGGTCTATACGTACAACAGAACATTATTCAGCCTTAAAAAGGAAGGAAATCCTGTCACATGCTACACAGAGATGAACCTGAAGGACATAACGCTAAGGGAAATAAGCCGTCACTAAAAGACGAATACTGTATGATTCCATCACAGGAGCTTCCCAGAGGAGGAAAATTCACAGAGACAGAAAGAACGCGGTTGGCAGGGGCTGGGGGCAGGGAGGATGGGGAGTTGCTGTTTAACGGATACAAAGTCTCGGTTTTGCAATGAAGAGTTCTGGAGGTTGCACAACAGTGTGAATGTACTTAACACTACTGAACCGTACACTCAGAGATGATTAAGATGGTCCATTTCACGGTATGTGTATTTCGCTATAATTTAAAAAAAACACCAGGCCAGGTGTGATCAGTGCTGTGATGTGGCAGGAAATGAGGAGGGGCAGGGCCCTGGGGAGGAAGGGTCACTGAATGCAGGCCAGAGAGCTGGTGAGGGTGGAGTGGTCCGAGCGGAG